CCCCCCCCCCTTAAATCGTGCACAAATCGTGCGAAAAAGAGGGCCATTTACCGTAAAAGTTGCGCGCTCTTTTCTACGAAAATTTACCCTACCGATCGTCAATTCTCGCGACCCTCGTCGATTTAACCTTGATATCGCGGACCTGTGACCTCTTTGCCGCGCGGGGTTTTTCAACCCTTTCCTTAGCTTGATCGACGAACGAACGATTGGAAACCCCTTTACGCGGCAATATTTCACCTATCCTTCGACAATAACTCGCCTCTCCAAGGAATCATTACCACGTATCACGGGTCGTAAAAATTTCTCCAAACGGTTGCCGAACTGAGATCTGGGGCCGTGACACGGCTCTCATTACAGAATGTAAGGTAAATAATAGCACGACTATGATTTACGAGGAACCGTAGATGTAACTGTAGAAGATACGGAAAGGGAATTTACGTTGGGAGAGATTCTCTAGTGGACGAGAAAGAATATTAACTAAACTGTAAAAAGAAAAGAAATTGACAATTTTTTTACTCTCGACTCTCTGTCTACAATCGACGTAGCAAAAGAAATTTTTAGACGAGAAAGGATATTAACTGAATCGTTTCACTGAGCAATTGACAATTTTCTACAAGTTTTCTACAAGTTGCCAACTGTTCTGTTTAAAATCGACATCTCGAAAGAAATCTTTTAGTAGACGAGAAAAAGAAATATTAACAAAAGTTGTAATTAATAATTAATTACAACTTTTTATTTTCGACATTCTGTGTAAAATCGATACTTCAAGAGGAATTTTTTAGTAAAAAAAAAAAAAAAATGTCCCATTGGGTAAGTAACAATTTTCTATCCTCAATTCTCTGCTTCGAGGAATTTATTTTTCCTAAATTTCTCGCTACTACGAACGATAAACTGGCATTAAGCTGTACTAATAAACTGTAGCGTGAAACGAACTCCCTTGAATGCACGTTCAACGGTCTAATATTAAACAATTTATCGATTTCCAATATACAATACCTGGCGCAGCGATTCCTCCACGAAAGATAAAAAATCGTGCGTTTCTCCCTTAATAATGTTCTTACCCCTCTCCTCTTCTTCTTCGTCCTCCCCTTCGGACAGCACATGCCTTCGTGCACACAGAGAAACAGGAGGAGCGTTTTTCCTACGGTTCAGGAAATCCAACTCTTGCCGCTACCTCTCCTAACCAGTTCCCACGGAATCCTTTCTAGCGTTTTCACGTTAAAATACATTTCGACGCTGCGATGTGTCGCACGCACACACGTGTACACGCGCTGGTGCAGGGGCGCACGATTTCGGCCGGTTAAAGG